ACTTGTGGCACCTTAGAGACTAACAAATTTGTTAGTCTCTAAGGTGCCACAAGTACTCCTGTTCTTCTTTTTGCGGATACAGACTAACACGGCTGCTACTCTGAAACCTCTCATCTGAGTGACACTTGTCACTTCCACAGAGTAGATGGGGTGAAGTAAATAACCTCTTTGGTCTTTCCAAGAGGTAAGGAGAAATAAATCATCTTTAATTTTAAGGTTTAAGGACAATCATGAATTGACAGTCATTTTCAGATTGCTCAGTCTTTTTAGAGCATTGTATAACTTCTAGCAGTGTAATACCACTACCCCTATGGGGAGCTGTCTGTGCACTGCTTCTTGTGGTATGAAATGGAACAGTAAAAAAACAAACAACCTTTTGCCAATAGACGTCTCTCTGGATCTGAACACCGCTACTATCCTGGCCCTGGCCCTCTGCTTAATAGACATTGCCAGACATACACCAAATTGTGTGCTAGTTCTTTTATGGTGTAAGTCAGTTTGGAAACCAGTTCTGCAGAGGTGAAAAGATAATGCATTAACCTGTTGTTTCACCTAATAGCAGACAGCAAGGAAGATTCATAAGTCTGCACAGTGACTTAGATCTCCATCATAAATTCAGTAGAGAAGCAAGCACATGTATTTTCTTTATATTGTCACAATAGTTACCAGTACTTTCAGTTTTTCCACCATTTGTTGTAATGTCTGGAATACCAGCTGAAGTCCAAGCACAAATTTTTGTCTACAGGGATTGTGTTAAACACCACTATTTCATCAGTCCACAACTGCAGCAGTTTGTTTTTATAGAAAAGCTGCTTTTTTAACTTAATATTCATGTTGTTTTTAATTCCTCCTCTTGGTTTTTATAATTTTCTACAGAGTATTATCCAAATTGTGAAGTGGTGTTCATGGGGATGGCAAACATCCATTCTATCCGGAAGAGCTTTCAGTCGCTGCGCTTGCTCTGCACACAGATGCCAGACCCAGGAAAGTAAGTGGGCATTTGAGTCTTAAATTATATATTTGTGTCTAACTCTCATTCTTCCCCTGATATTTTCTAGACTGAATTAAGCAGGTGTTTGTTCTTCCACAGCCTTCTCTTTGTAAACATGCTGCAGTTATATTTTTCACTTCATATAGCTTGAGCAAAAGGAAGTTACTGACTCATTAATTCTAAAATGGAGATAGCAAGAGAGACTGGGATCAAAATTGGATCCTTTGCTTTAATATTAGAGTGTATTACTGTCAGGTGGGCTTGGTTAGTCTCATCTGTGCATCCTGCAATATTTCAGCTTTCCCCTGATTTTCTAAAACTGCTATTGTAACATGCTATCTAACCCCAGAAGTGTGTAGCAGCCTGACTTTCCTTTGAAAGGCACTAGTGTTGCTCCATGAACTTACCACATGCATAATATCCTCACCCTGGAGACCCAGCCCATCATTTCCATGGTATAACTGACCTCCAGTGACAATAATTGAGGGGTCTTCTGACTGTGAATCTTCCCCAGAACACTGCAGCATTTCAACGCTCTTTCCTCTAACAGTTTCTCCTGGTTCTTCATTTGCTGCCATGAACCTTTCACATTCACTGTCTGTATTCACTGTCTGTATTTCCTGCAAACTTGTGAGAGCATTAACAAGATAATTTAAGTGAAAAATAGATTCAAGGAAAGCATTATTTAGTACTATAATAGGAGTTTAATTATGATCACTCTAATTTTTTTTAATTCAAAGATCTCAGCTGGGAAACATTAAAGAGAGCAAAAAGAACAGGAGTACTTGTGGCACCTTAGAGACTAACAAATTTATTAGAGCATAAGCTTTCG